AAGTTAGTTGTAGCTGGGTATGGTGACGCATGCCTGTAATCCCAGCACTTGGGAGGCTGAGGCAAGAGATTCACTGTGAGTTCCAGACCAGCCTGGGCGACATAGTGAGTTCCAGGTCAGTCTTAACTAGATAATGAGACCCCATCTCAAAAAGCCAAAAAAAAAAAAAGTTGATTTTTTGAAAAAGAAAATGTCAAGAATGATGGGATAAATCTATTTAAAGAGGGCTGGGGATTTAGCTCAGTGGTTATGCCACCTGCCTTGCAAGGGCAAGGTCCCAAGTTCAATCCCTGGTACCGAAAAAATAAAAATAAAATAAACCTATTTAAAGAGAGGGGAAGGTGTGGTTTTGTAGTTTTGGCTTTTTGAAGATAGGGTCTCACTATACAGTTCAGGACACCTTGAACTCACTATGTAGAACAAGCTGGCCTCAAACGAGGTATCCTCCTGCTTCAGCCTCAAGAGTGCTGGGTTTATAGGTGTGTGTCACCATGCTCAGCCTGAGAGGGGAAATATTTTGAGGGGAATTAATGGTTTTGTGTTTTACTGTAATTTTTTTATTTTTGGGGGCTCTGAGACAGTGTCACTATGTAGCTCAGGCTGACCTTGAACTCATGGCTCCTCCTGTTTCAACCTTCCAAGTACTGGGATTATAGGCACGCACCACCATGCCTAGCTTTACTGTGATAAATTTTTAAAATTTAAATATTCACCATATGTTTTCATTCACACCTTGTACATGATCAGGACCCAGATCCACACAAGGTCTCCTGGGGATAGGATAGAGAATTTAGGAGTGTTCCTAGCTAGACATGATGGCACATACCATTCCAATTTTAGTATATGTGCTGCCAAAGCAAGCACATGGTGGCACATAGCTATAATCCCACCACTAGAACACTCTGGGGCCCTGAGGCAGGTAAACGGTAAATTTGAGCCTAGTCTAGGCAATTTAGTGACTTAGTGAGACCCAGTTAAAAAAAAAAAAAAACAGGGGTGTAGTTTAGTGCAAAGGCCTTGGGTGTTCTTTAGAATCTCAGAAAGATCCCCTCCCCAATTTAGTAAGATTTATGAGGCAATTGTGGTTAGCTTTTCCATTTACAGTGTTTTCACATGCATTATCTTAATCCTCACATGAGGATTACAAAGTACCTGTTATTATCCTGAATTTACAGTGGAGGAAACCCAAGCCCAGAGTAAACTTTGGGCCCACACCATGCCCAGTAGGGGAGCTGGTTCTCACCCCAGCCTCTCCAAAACCCAGGCTACTACCAGCTGGCTGCACAGGAAAAGGAAAGTACGGATAGTTATTGCTGTCAAATCCCCCAAATCTTTATTCTACCCATCATCCTGGGGTAACTGCCCTCTAGGGCAAAGGACACAGGGAAGGGGGCCTTAACATGTTAATTATTAACCCTTTGCGCCTCAGGGGACCGCAGGCTTCTTTTTCGTGGAGGTGAGGGGACAAGACTGTCTCTAGGCTGGTGCAGCGGCAGCCATGGGGGTCGCGCTGCCGCCCCCGGCTCTGCGGCGCTGGTTCCGACACACAATTGCTCTCGCTGTCTTCGTGCTGATGATTTATCTGAGCTCTCGGATCCTCCGTGAGTGGCCCCTTCCCTCACCTTCTCAGGAAAGAGCCCAGGAGTCTAAGCCTTGGGAACCCAAACCCCTTCCTGGAGCCTTCACCGCCCGCTTTGCTGTCCCCAGGGGTCTTGTCAGGCTGCAGGCCAGGAGCACAGTCCTGCACTCCGGAAGGACCGCTGCCCTTCCAGGTACGCTCGGGATAGGGCTGTGCCTGGAAGCTTCATATAGAACCTTGAGTGGGGTAAGGGAGTCAACCGAGGATCTGATGAAGAGTGGGTCCTCTCCCTCTTCTTCCCGCTCCCATCAGAAGCTGTGAGTCCTTCAGGAAGGACCCCAGTTAGACCCTAAGAATAATTTATTCGGAGCCCAGCGGGGCTGCAGGCCAAGTAGGCCTGGCAAGCTAGGTCCTCTGCTGCCGCCCCCTTCCCCTCACATCTACCCTAGGTACGGCAGGAGTCCGGAACCCTGGCGGCCCCAGGTTGGAAAGAGCCCCCGTGTCTGGGGCCTCAGGGAATGCTGGGTCGCATGAGAAGGTCCTTCCAAGCCAGTTTGAAGCCCGAAGGGGATGTGGAGTTGTCGCAGTACCTGGCAGGATGGAGAGAACTAGTCAGGTGAGTGGTCTCCCTCAGGCAAGCCAGGATTCGCCTCCTCGCGGCTCCCCGGCCCTCTCCCAAACCATCGCCACCTCCCACCAAATGCACAGGTTCCTAACTCCCCTGGGCTCCATCTTCACTTTCGCCACAAGCGAGGCCTTCATCAAGGTGACAGCCCTAGAGGCTCGCGTGCAGGGCCCAGATGCCGCGCACTACACGTCGCTGGCGACCATGGCAGCGTGGGAGCGGCGCGCGGCGCTTCTGGGGCCGGACGGCACCA